CTAGTGGTATTTGCCTTTTTCATAACTGTAGATCTAGGGCTCCAAATGAAGTGAAATTTTTGTGGCACGCTAATCATGTGGTAGTTGATGTGTGGTAAAAATTTCATGAGTATTGGATGAAGTATGAGTGAGTTATTGGTTTATCTTGCTCTCACATGATTTCTTGCTTTAGCAACTTGTCTTTTTCATAGAGGTTGCTATACATATTCAAATGAAGTGAAATTTTGACAGTAGACTATTGAGAGGATATGTGAGCCACTGTAATTTTTGTAGAATTTATTGTATACTTTTGGTATATGTTCCTTAAGTCACCTGGTTATCTAAAATAAATTAAGAAATGCATTAAAAGAATTTATTTGGTCATGGACACTAGGCTTTCTGGTGTTCTTTAGTCATGTGTGACATGTTGGTAAAGTTGGTTTTGCCCAATTATGTGTTTGCAACATAAGTTAATAATTATTTTCTTGCCGATGTGGTTTATGGATAGATCTGAGAACTTAGCAAAGTTCTTCATGATAATGTGCTTTGTTGTGAAACTTGTTTATACAAAAGTTGTAGATAATTCATGTATCTAGCTACTGTTAAAATTTGGTGTCATTTGGCCAAGTAGTTTAAGAGTTACAACTGTTTAAAGTTAGAGTACAGGGTTTGTTGCTCTCTGTTTTGTATGAACCAGTTTCTGTAAAGGTATAATTTCGACCTACTTAACTTGTGAATGATGCTATGATGTTTACAGATGAAATGTAGATAATTTCATAAGCTTTCCAAAATGTCTTCTTGCAAGTCATTTGGATTTGTGTAACTACAGTTATGCTTCTCTGAAGTTGCAATCAGTTTTATGTCCATGTCTGGACAGGTCTGAAACATCTACATGTTTGACCTGTTTAACTTTGTAATTAGCTTTTTATGTAAACATCAATCTTGTATACAATTTCTATGGATTTTCATAAAGTCTTAGATCATCCTTGTGGGATGTTTGTAGCTTAAGTTATGTTTGAAACAAGTGACTGTTTGCTGCTGTCCAAATCTGCTTGTATCTAGAATTGTTTGCTTCTACTTGCTCTTGTTTGTATGATTGCAAATGGTTATCTTGGACACCTAGAGTTAAGGTAGCATGCCTAAAATGTTTTGCTAAATTGTGAAGTACTTGATCATGTATAGCTAGCTGGTTGTATGACATGCTTATGTGTGTATAGTGTAACATATGCTTGTTTAGTATGCTTGTTGCATTCCTTCATGTGTATTCTTTATGTTCATGCATCTGCATCTATGCATCTCATCCTAGGTACGCTAGGTACAGCACGTGGACGTAGAGCGCATGATGTGGAGACAGACGATGGTGTATGGTGGACCTATCCCGAAGGTGGAAGGACTGGACAAGTGCTAGAACGGGAGATGCTCACTTAGCGAGTGTCGTCTACCTAATACTGACTTGTGTCGGACCCCAGGCAAGCCCCGGAGCATATTAAGCCTCCTAATTTTTGAAATGCAGTTACAATATTATTGTTACATATATATATTGTTGCATTAAGTTTAGGCGTTGGATGAAAACACTTGCTGCATTGGTTATCCAATCCTTGTCCAGATATTGATACCCTGAATCCTATGTAGCCCAGGCTCGTGTAGTGCTTAGCCCTGCTTAAACACGGTAGAAGTCGGGTGATTTCCTGTCACCTGCGAGATATAGGAATCTACATGTGGCATGGTTGGCTATATTTGCTATCGTGGAAAAGAACTAGTCTTAATTTGAAATGAAGACCGGACGGAGGCTTATTGGTTTGCAGTGACTCCGTCTGTGTCGCTTAAGGACTGATTCTTGGAGCCTTTCCTGTTCATGTTGAACGCATGCCTCTCTCTTAGTTGGCCGTGTCCGAAGACCGACCGCGAAGCCGAGTAGCTCACCTCAGGCCGGGAGTCGATTAGTATAAAGTGCGCCTCAGAAGGGAGCCGTAGGCGTGAGTCCAAGGGCAGGTGATTTAAAAGTCCTGATCGTCCTGGTAGAAGGGTAATCCCTGAGAGTGCTGGCGCTGATCGAACCCGCGAATTTGGTTCCTGAGACGTCCCAAAGGTGACCCACGGCTACCCTTGCTAAGTATGCCAGGGTGAGAGTTAGGAATACCCCCTCAGCTGAGTTGTAATTCGATTCGAGTCGCCGTCTCTCCCGGTTAGTGAGAACTTGACGGGCTTATCTCCAATGTAGATACACTTAATAACATAAAGGTTTGGAAATGATGATATGATGATGACAACCTTATTATACCTGCTATGGTTAATATTGATTGCTCCTAATAAGTGAGTGCTCTAGTACAGGTGCTAATCTAGTGGACAGGTAAATGATGATAAGCTTGATGCTAAGTTTAAATTGGTTACTATGCTCATAAGCTCTTTTATGCAAATGTGTCAAGCTAGCCCACCTCATAAGCCTTGCATGACCCTTGGTGTCTTTTATTTTTGGTTTTCGACGGGTAAGTCTGGCTGAGTACATTCGAGTACTCAGGGTTTATCCCACCATGTTGCAGGTGAAGTTCTCGGCCTGTGAAGATGGTGGTTAACCGTCGGTGGCTCGGTGATTCTATAGTTACTTCTCATCTATATGCTTTTGTCGGATGATATCACTTATGCTAGCAATGTATTTGGAACATATATTAATGTAATCTTTTGAAAGCTATGTTGTTTTCACTAATCGGTTTTGAAACCCAAACTTGTACTATTATTTGTGATTCCATTTGTAATATTATTTTCCGCTGCAACCCTGCGTATGTGATGTGTATTTGCTTAATCACGCGATCTTGGTTGTGATGTTGATTTACCGAGGTCTTTCGGGACACTCGGCGTACTACCGGGTTTATATGAGTGAAAGTATGTGTGTGTCAACGTGTTAGCGGGGACAGCCGTACTTGATCTTGTATAAATTGGACGGTTCTGTTACAAAACGTTCGTGCACGTGTAGGGAGAAGTCGGAGACAGGGCCGTCTCTGGGGACATCCGAGCGTCAACATGATTGTTCGGGGGTTTGGAAAATCGTTTGGAGAGCTAACATGGAGAAAACTGTTTGGAGAAATATTATGGCGATATACGAAGATTGGAGAATATTTAGGAAAATATTAAAGCATGACTTAGCTTTAGACCGAACGTCTGGTCGGCGGCGTATGATGTTATTTGGTCGGTGACGTGGGTAGCTCGCTTAGCGGCTCGCTTGACGGCCGGAACGAAGTTGATCTCGTGTTGGAGTAGGACGGACGTAGTCGGAGCTTGACAGTGTCAATCCGCGTACGAAGACGTGTGCCGTGGTTGTCGAAGGATGTCGACGCGATCATCCGAGTTGCCGCGAAGGATGTTGACCTTGAGTTACGCCATCTGGTTCGCCGGGGATTAGCGCGCACGAGCCCCACGGTGGGCGCCAACTGTCGACAAAAGATGCTCGGCAATCCTCCGAGGGGTATCCTATAAAGATAGATTGATTGGTGGAGGTGCGCGTGATAGGAACCGGATGGTGACACAAGGCGTAGAGACAACGATTTATACAGGTTCGGGCCGTCTGATCGATATAATACCCTACGTCCTGTGTCTTTGGTGTATTATATTGAATATGAGATGTATGTAGATGCCGACTAGGGGATCACTGCCTCTCCTTATATACTCTGGAGGGATAGGATTACAAGAAAAGTATCTTATTTGGTACTATACAATATCTTGCGGTGCACGTTGACCAGTGCCGTGTACGCTTTGATCTTGTGGGCTAGGCCACCTCTGATGGTGCGGCCCATATCTTGTCTTATGGGTACCGGGGGTCATATCCCCCACAATCATTGATGGGTTTGACCGATTTGGGCTTCAAACTGGCGAATGTCGGCTCAATCAACACATGATGGCATCTCGAAGCTTGCATTGAGGCAAAGCAAAAGTCAAGAGGGCACATGGTCAGTTGGATTGACGTTGAAAACATGGACAATTTTTCCATGAGGTATTTGAGTTGAGCACTTCATGTAAGGTAACTCGGGAAATAACCAAGTGTCAATACATATACGAGACTGCTATTTCGGAAGCTTTTGAGGATTAGGCTCGATCTCATTTGTTATGTTGAGAGTTTTGGTTTAGTGCTAGAGAGAAGGAAAGAGGAGAGCCTCTTTGATTTAACTTATTGCCTTATTAAATTTTGATCTGCTAAGAAATGACTTGTAGTCGCACATCATGGAGTAATCCAAAGTTCAAATTCGTGCAAGATTGGGTCTCCTCTCCCAAATTTGAGATCTTTTGTTTTCTTTGTTTTAGCTGTTTTGGGGGATTTTTTTCTTCTATTTTGGCTACGATTTCGACATGAATTTTTGAGGAAAATCTGTGTTGGGATATGTAAGGAGATAGCTTGTCATCAATTTGTTGAATCCCATGAGCACCTAAAATTGATGTTTTTTTTCCCTAAAATCCACTTCTCTCCTTTTTTTTTTTTAAATTACAAGGTAACGTAGACACCCGCAACACGCAAAAGCCATTTTAGCACTTTTTAGAATGCAGATTTTTTTCCATTTCTCTGTGTTTTCTATAAGAAATGAATGGATTTCTGTAAAATTTCATTATAATTACTGTGAAATTTCAGCGTTGGAGACGTGTTCACCTCCTTTCGTTCGACCTTCCCACGAGCCTCTTCCTTCGGAGCATAACCCGATGCAGCTGCTCATGGCGACGTGAAAAGATTCCATACAACCGATTCTTGCGCACCCCACTCCTTTCCCTCCAACTTCACGACCCTGTGAAATGTGATCCTTACTCTACTCCGCGAGATCGATCTGGTTTGCACGGACACATCCGAGCCCTAGCGCCCTCCGTCCTCAGCGTCGTTGCTCCGGCCGCCAGTGAAGCCGCCGCCGGCCAGGCAAGGTGAGGTGGGCACCCAGCACAGACTCTGTATTTCTCTCCGCCCTTTCCGTTTGGGCTTCAACGCCTCGCTCCATCTCAGCGTTTCTATCCGCTGCAGCACCGACGCCCGCCATCTGTTCGACGCAATGCCTCCGAGGAAAAGGGGCAGAAAGGTCAAGAGGACGGCGCCTCCCAGCGCTGGACGCCCCAGTCTCGATGCGCTCCCGGACGAGGTCCTTCACCACATGTTGTCATTCCTGCCAGCGCAGGAGGCCGTGCGGACATGCGTGCTGGCCCGGCGCTGGCGCCACCTCTGGAAGTCTGCCACGGGCCTGCGCATTTTGTGCGGCAATGGCCATGAAGCGGCATCAGTATCGGAGCTCAGGGAGTTTGTGTACCATCTACTGCTCCTTCGAGGAGGCTCACCTCTTGACACTTGCGTGCTCGACTTGTGTGGATATGAAGACGAAGACATTCCCCTTATGAGACTCTGGATCCGGCATGTTCTGATGTGCAAAGTCCAGGCGCTAAGCCTTGATATTGGTAGGTTTACCATTCCTGGGGACCCCTGTCTTGAGGTGGGCAATCTGCCTCTCGTCTCGCAGAATCTGAAGAGGCTAAAGCTCGAAAGTCAACAAGTCAATGATAGCTTCCTTGACTTCTCCAGGTGCCCGGCATTGGAAGTCCTTAAGTTCGACGATTGTGAATTCCTTGACTGCCATAGGATTTCATCACAATCTCTAAAGTTTCTAAGTTTCAGTAACTGCGATTTTGATACAGAGTTTTGCACTTATATTTATGCCCTGAATCTCATTTCACTTTGGCTTGAAGTCACTGAAGGCTGGACTCCTTTGCTTGAGAGAATGCCTTCCTTGGTAGAAGCAGTTGTTAAAATCAAATTTTCTGATGACTCTTATTGTGGGCGTTGTGGGGATGAGGACTGCTCTTCTCGTTATACAGTACATGGTGATTCTGTTGACACTGTGCTTCTCCAATGTTTATCAGAAGCTCAGAGTTTGGTGCTGATGTCTGATATTAGAGTGGTATGCTTACACTTTAGATTAATATAAGTTGATGCCCACTTTGTTTTTTTTCACTTTCAAATTAATCATGTATAATGTGAAGGTTTATTCATCTTTGCAGTGTGTATTCAGAAGGGACTTGAAATGTTGCCCCATGTTTAGTAACTTTCTCACTCAATGAATACTGGTGTATGCCTGACTTCAGCTCGCTAACGTGTATTCTAGAACATTCACCTATTTTAGAGAAGCTCACTCTTCAACTATTTTGCAAGGTATACATTTTCTAGATATACAACTGCTGTATTTTCAAATTGTTATAGAATATCAATTGATGCTGGAAATGTCTTGATACATTTTGTAGGAATCCAAAACTGAAGTGGAAATGAAAGGAAGCCCTGATACAATGGAGAAATCAAATGTAATATCAGAGCATCTTAAAATTGTGGAAGTTAAATGTGAAGTGGTCGATGAAAAAGTGCTGAATGTTTTGAAGTTTCTCAGTAAACTTAGCATATGTAAGCTGTAGCACTTTCTATATATTTTTAATTTTGTTGAGAAAGCAAGTAATGAAGAAATTTGTTAGATCATTAATAATTAGTTAATACAATTGAAGAGAGATAGGATCCTTCTACGTTTAATTGGTGGAAGAGAAGAGTAGGAAAAATTACTGTGGGGGTCTAAAATGAATCCTTACCCAAAATGCATTAACCTGCTGATTTGTTTTCGAATAGTGATACAAGTGTCTGAATTAAGTGATTTTGTCAGCTTACTGAAATCTGTGTTTACTGCTTAAGCCTACTTAAGAGGTGATACAATATGTTCTATTCTTGAATGCTTCTCTTTTTTTTTTACTTGTCCTTTTTCATTCTTGGTTGGTCTCCAAGACATTAATTTGATCATTATGTTGTTTGGATGTTGTTATTATAAAATTCTACAAGTATGACAGTATGAAAAGTATTATTCAATACAAATCTACTAATAAATTTATGTGAAGGTTTGGAATTTTGTTGCAGTCTGATAAATCTGTTTACTTGTGTTCAATATTTATTTGATGTATCTTGTTTCCGCTGGTTCAACGTTTACAAATATAGTTTCTCAACAAGCAAATATGCAAACAATGCTGATTATCCTATGTTTATTTAGCTTCCTTTCTTTACTTGTGGCTTCCAAACCCATATCATTTGCTAAAATTAATAATACCAGCCATCTGATTATTGTTGTTAGTGTGGAAATTACTGGATGCCATTGCTGGAGACTAATGTGATACTACCACTGTCAAAGAGATAGATTGCCTAGTCGCTATTGGCTAATACTATCGTAGGAAATTTGCAGTAACAGTTAGCTTCCACCATCAGTGTATAAACCGTCTACAGTTAGCTTCCACCATCAGTGTATAAACCGTCTACAGATAGATTACCTAGTATACTATTGTAGGAAGTATGCAGTAAAACTTAGCTTTCACCATCAATGTATAAAGTAATATATAGAGTGGCTATGTAGAAATATTGCGCTAAAATATTCATTTTAAAAGTGGTTGTCAAATGTATTGTTGAAGAGATGAAGACACCCTTTGTGTCCAGCATGTTATATATGCTCTTGATTGGAGTAATTAATAAGTTTTTATTTTTTTAGTATAGTATATGTGGCCATCTTTAGAATAATTAGATATTCTACAATTTGGGCAAGAATTCTTTTGTAATGAAGTCTATACTGTGTGTCTGGTTTATTTGACATTTTTTCTCATTTCTCACACTCTGCAAACTATTCTACTTTCAGGTTCGTTCAGGTTTCAATTTTGAGGAACAGAAAGTGAGAAATGCAGGTTGCGATTTGTAGGGATTGAACCAACAGGGCTGCATGAACACCCTCACTGCTAGCCACCCAAGCCAAGCCTCCGTCCTCAGGGTTAGAAAGTTTGTACTGAGCTGTATAAGGGAAAGCACATGGCTACCAAAGATGATGTCTTTATGTATATGTGATACCTTTGAACTGTACTTGTAGAACAACTTGAGATATCGTAGATGGTTGTTTTCCTTATCTAGCTAGGCCTGGCTTAACATGCTATGTTGTACTTTGCAGCCATCTTGTAACATAGGGCTTGTTTACCATCTATTCTTGAAAGTTTGCCAGTTTTAGAGTCGCTAATATCATAACACTGTTGTTCCTCTTGCAGTATATTGTTTCATATTGTTTTTCCTTTGTGCATAATGCCGTGTTTCAATGCAATAGCAATTCTCCTGCCTGGCTTTTCGCCAAAGACAAGAAAAATGCAAAGAGAAAGAACTTGCACTCTTATTTCCATGCCTGTAGGTTACAATTCGAACTAGCCCATGTTATTTAGATGTATGTAACTGATGTTTTTGTGTTCCCTGTTCATTCCATCACTGATTCAGCTGGAACCTTTTGGTGAGGCGATTGTAATTTCTTGGCCTAAGTTTTTGTGTCTGTTAGCAAAATTTTCTGCATATATATGACGTGTTAGCAAATATAATGTTGCCTCTCTTGATTGGAACAGGGCTAAACTATAGGACATGTTTATGTTAGCAACGTGGTGACCCCAGGAAGTAATATGAGAATAGAGCAGAACAGCTTCTGGACACCAAAACAAGCATAGAGCTTTCATTGCTTCTGTTTGCTGCCACCTAGCCTCTAGGGTTGATGTTCTTGATTTGTTCGTAATATACTTCTAAGGCCAGTCTTAGTGCTAATTTCACGTCCCACTTTCCAATGTTCCCATATTTTGGAAACAGTACTGAATCTCCATAAAACTCTCTCTACTCTCATGAAACTTTTATCATCTCTCTCTTCATAAATATAGTACCATGTCAGCATATTTAATGCCCATAAAACTTTATGAAATTCTCATTGAGATTGGCGTAAGAAAAGAAGAGATGACATTATTTTACTCCACGAAAGAACGGCAATGTTTCCAAAGTAAAAGGCATTAAAAGAATGAAGTATTTTTAGTTGACATGAACTAAAAAAATGCACAATAGAAGTGTTCTATGGAAAGTTTGTTTCAGAAGTCATTTGGCTATAATACTAATCCGAACAACAGTTCAAGTGATATGGGAATCCAAATTAGATGGTGTCGGATCTATGGGACCGGGAATAAAATAATGAATTAGAACACTACCTTTAAGCTCACCACGCAATTAGCCATTAAGACTTGTCACCTTTCATTAATTTTCCCATGTTTTTTTAGGGGAAGCAAAACCTTTATTGAGCTTCATAAGAAGTACAAACGGTCATTCGGCGGAGATACAAACCAAACATGTCTACCAAGATCATCATAAACACTACTTCTAGCTAAGACATGGGCATCAAAGTTTGATGAGAGAATTATCTATTTGGCACTAAAACAAATCAGTGTTTTGTATTTAGCACTCGAAAAATTGAACTTTTCTATCTGGCATCTAGTTGAAATTTCTTTTCTTAAATGGTATTACCGTCCATTTAGGACAGTAACGATGTCAAGTGACTCGTAAAATGACATGAATACCCTTGTTTACAGCAGAAACCCATGATTCCTCGCATACTTTTTCAGTGTGTGATTCAAGTAACTTCTAAGCATAACTCGTCAGGCACAGCTAGGCCTCAAGAACTTGGCAATGGAGGATGTTGTTCTTGGCGCGGCTGCGGCCAGCGAGGTTGGACAACAGTCCCGTGACGAAACTCTTGGCATGCGCTTTGCCGGCGAGGGTCTGCCACGACAGCCGAGACGCTCATGTCGTTGCGGACGATGCAGAGCCTTCCGTGGAGGGCGACAATGGCGGCCGCCTCCACCGCCTGGGAGCTCCCTCGGTGCTGCTTGCTGTCGACGTAGGTGGTCCACGCGTCTGCGGCCTCGTCGTAGGCCCTCAACTGGCATCTGTCCTTGCAGTCGGCAGCGTAGAGCCAGCCGTCGAGGCACGCGCTGGGGCTCCGCCAGCCGGTGACCATGCCGTCGAGGACGACGGACCACGCGTCGGCGTCCGGGGGAGTACGCCTGGCTCAGCACCTGCTGCTGCGCGCCGATGCCCTTCACGTACCACCGCCCGCCGTGCACCGCGCTGACGAACGGCGCCATCGGCGCGGCCATCTCGGCAACGAAGGACCACCGGTTCTTGGCCGGGTCGAACACCTCGGCGGACCTGAGCCCGCCCCTACCACCGCCGCTGCAGCTCTCGCCGCCCGCGACGTACAGGCGGTTGCCCATGACGCACACGTCGAAGCACTGGCGGCGGCGCAGCATGTCCGGCGCGCGGTGCCACCGGTTGCTCCGGGCGCTGTAGAACACCACCCGTCGCATGGCGCCGCCGCCCCTGCGCGGGTCCCTGCCGCCGAGCAGGTACAGGTGGCAGCCGCCGAGCACGGCGCAGCCGAACCCGTCGGCCTCCGCGTACTCGCGCGCCACGCGTCGCGTGACGGGTCCAGCACGTCCCACGACACGTGCCCGTCCCTGTATCTGACTGAGGGGTACATCGGACGTAGGGAGAAAAAACTGACATGGTCAAACCAGTAAAATAACAGATGACAAATGAAAATGGACGACAGTGCCATTTAAAAAAAGAAATTTTAACTTGATGTCAAATAGAAAAGTTTAAATTTTCGAATGCCAAATACAAAACACTAATTTGTTTCGGTGCCAAATAAATAATTCTCTCATGAACGAACTCAACAAAACTGATCTCGCGTGATCTAGCTCTAATTTCCTGAACTATATGTCCATAAGAGCCCATGCTTCTTTCTCGGATACTCCTGATGACTCCTGCGTTATCACACGATAGTCTAAAATCACGAAGAACTATATCACCACTGCCGAGGCACCAGGAATTTCCCCGCAGCTTCTCTTGCAACCGCAGCTGCCGTGACAACTCCCGAATTCTTGACGGCCTGCGGGGAACGAGATTGGAAAGTCTGGCTCCGATGTCCGTGAAAACTTGGTGGGCCGGTGGGCTAGGCCCAGCCCCAGTGCCGTCAGCTGGTGCTGTGCTGTGTGTTGCGTGGACCGCGGAGGTGGAACGGCCCACTTGTCGGTTCCCTTCATTGCGTTCGAGAAGTGTTCACCTCCTTTCGACCTTTCGCCACAAGCCAGCCTCCTTCCAAGCAAGCATGAACGGCGAAGATCGCAACCCGGCGCAGCCGCCCATGGCGACGTGAATTCGCGAAAGTACTCCATACAGCCGACTCATGCGCACCAGGCACCCTATTCTTTTCCCTCCATCTCCGCGACCCTGTGATCCCTCTATTCTACTCCGCGAGATCGATCTGGTTTGCACGGACACATCCGAGCCCTAGCGCCCTCCGTCCTCACTCCTCAGCGTCGTTGCTCCGGCCACCTGTGAAGCCGCCACCGGCCAGGCAAGGTGAGGTGGGCACCCAGCGCAGACTCTGTATTTCTCTTCGCCTTTTCCATTTCGGCTTCGACACCTGGCTCCATCTGAGCGATTCTTTCCACTGCAGCACCAACGCCCGCCAGCTGTTCGACGCAATGCCTCCGAGGAAAAGGGGCGGAAAGGTCAAGAGGGCGGCGCCTCCGAGGTCTGGCCGCCCCAGTCTCGATGCGCTCCCTGATGATGTCCTTCACCACGTGCTGTCATTCCTTCCAGCGCAGGAGGCTGTGCGGACGTGCGTGCTGACCCGGCGCTGGCGCCACCTCTGGAAGTCCGCCATGGGCCTGCGCATTTGGGCGGCGAGGACCATGAAGCGGCATCTGTGACGGATATCAGGGAGTTTGTGGACCATCTACTGCTCCTTCGCGGTGGCTCACCTCTTGACATTTGCGTGCTCGACTTGTGTGAATATGAAGACGAAGAGATTCCCCGTATGAAACTTTGGATCCGGCATGTTCTGATGTGCAAAGTCCAAGTGCTAAGCCTTGATATTAGACGGATTAACAATGGCTGGGACCCCTGGCTTGGTCTGCCTCTCGTCTCGCAGAATGTGAAGAGGCTAAAGCTCGGATGTGTACAACTCAATGATAGCTTCCTTGACTTCTCCAGCTGCCCGGCATTGGAAGTCCTTGAGTTCGATTGTTGTCAATTCCTTGACTGCCATAGGATTTCGTCACAATCTCTAAAGTTTCTAAGCTTCAGGAATCAATTCGATTATGAAAGGATTTCTCGCACTCATATTTATGCCCCGAATCTCATTTCACTGTGCCTTGAAGCTAGTGACGGCTGGATTCCTTTGCTTGAGAGCGTTGATCCCTGGCTACCCTGCACTGCACAGGTAAGTAACTAGCTTATCAGTACACATACTCACTACGGCTAGAGGTAGAAGAAGAGATTGAGAACAGTGTACACACACTCAGCACAAGCACCAGCGTTGGCCGAAGCCTTGCCCTTTGGTTTGTGGCAATTGAACTAAATATTCCATTGCTCTTTGGATGGAATATATATAACTCTAGCTGTACCTCTACCAGGAATATAGTTGTTGGCCAACTACATACTCCTGAATATAAGAGTACACCAACTACCTACTCCTAAGTTATAGGGTACACCATGGTTTCTAAGTCGTCTCCAAGGCGACGCCTAGGCGTCCAGGCGCTATTTGAAGCTGGGCGTCGGCCTTGCCACTAGCAGCATCTGTATGGTGTCCGCCTTGCAGAAAAAGGCATCGCCTAGGCGCGATTAGGCGACGTTGGAGCTCTGAGCGGCCTGAGGCGGACGACGCACGAGTGAATCGGACGACGCCTGGCCGCGAGAGTTGCGCGCGTGGGAAATCGCGGCCGCAGGAGTTGCGCGCGTGCGGGAATCACTACTGCAGGAGTTGCGCACGCGGGGGAAATCGCGGCGCGGGCCTACAGCTCCCGCAA